CACATGCAGCACAACAGTGTGGCCAACAGGAAACTGTTGCTCAGAAAATCAGCTCAGCACAAGGAAGAACATCTTATTCTGTGTCCTAAAATGGATTCGCTTTTAGTTTCTTTTTGTGGCCCCTGGTCCTTGTGTCACCATTGACCGTGAAAAAGTCCACTGAGGATTTTACATAATGGGCCCAAATGTCATCTCGGATATAAGATATGCATAAAAACATGACCATGATATAAAAACATCATAATATTTCACAAGGGTAGAAAGAAAATACTTCCCAGAGAGAACGAAAAGAGATAAAAACAGCTAGCATTTAAAATGACAAATAGCATATTATATTATCTCAGCCCACCACAACTGAGATAGTACCTGTATTCAAAGTAGCAGTCACTCTGCAGGAATAAAGGGAGTCTCTCCTTCTGTATCCACTGGATGCCTTGTTCTCTGTCCAAGCACTGCAAAAGCAGTGGTGTTATTAATTACTAAGACTTCTAACAATCTACTCAAGGAAACCTCTGCTGGAAAAATTGCCAGCGTCAGTGACTGTCCGTTGCCCGTGTGAGCTGCAGAATGTGAGCTCAATCCTTTCTCCTGCAGCGATGCTCTTCGCTGCAGGAAAAACAGAATGGGCTGACAAACTCACTCATGAGGGCTCTTCATTAATTAGAGACGAGTGGTAATACATACCTTCTCCATCACCTTTCGTTGCAAAAGAAGACATATCTTACCATAACGCTGTAGCTGTTATCAATTATATTTCCCCAGGGCTGTGAGGGCTTGGCACAGGCACAATGGCATGATCCATTTGTCCTGCCATCATATCTGGGCTGTGGGGACTTGTATGTTGATAGCAAAGCTTTTATCTGATTAGTCAGCACTTCTGCAACATCAGTGACAACTTCAAAGCCTCCGGTGTCTTTATTAAATTTTATAGCTTCTGGGAAAGTCTGTTGGGAAAAAAAAAGGAAAGATTTAAATAATGTCTTCCCAGAAATATAGAGGAGACAAATGACGTGCCAAAAGATTCTGGGCGTGTACCGTATAATACAGATTCGCACTGACAATGACAAGTAAACTTTGGCTGTCTGAACAGAAATTCACATTTAAGAGTAAGCAAAATGCTTTTTATGAGAAACAAATTTGAGCCTAATGGTGCCAGCAAATGTCTGCTTTTCCTTTTAAATAAATACGCACTGGATTAGAGTAGATAGTCTGGAAATCCTTGCTCACATCAAAATGATTGTGAAGTGAAATGTTTCATTATTTGCGTGTAGTACATTACAGACTATATGATCTCATTTCCATTACTTATAACAGTTTAAATGGCACATGAAATTGACCAGCTTTGATGATTTTTATCTGTTTCTACTCAGCACTGTTAATTCTAATGATAAAAGTGATGATCATAACAAAATGCCTAAAGATTTAATCCACTCAGGGTCTGCCATAGGTAACTAAGGGGTTATAATGTTGATAAACTAACAAAGGAAAATATACAAATGTTGTACCATCTATGTGATTGTTTCTCTTGTAATAATTCAAATTATTGAGACAGAAACTTTGTTTAAAAAAAATGAATCCGCGCATCGTTTTTGTGTGGTTCAGCTTTTAGGTTGTCTAATGTGTGAACTCGTCAATACTCCATCGCCTATCTTTCAGACTGTTTCAAGCTCTTTCCTTACCGGAAGACCCAAGAATTCGTTAAAATAATGCACAAGCAGGTCATCCGTGGCCAAGTTATCCTCCTGAAATAAATAAAATCAGGACTTGTTAGACGAGGGTTTCGAACCGGTTTCATTAGCTGCACAGAAAAGCGAAAATGTTCACATCTTTCCCAGATTATTTTAATTTACAATTACTACAAATCTATACACCCCATAAAACAAGATCCTTTCTGGCGCAAACAGAAAGACGAAAGGTTGAAACAGCTATCCTAGGCAACAGTCCATAGAGAGGTGTCACTGTCAGGCACATCGCTGCGGAAAATACACTAGTGTGCGCTGTAGGGCCCGTCTTTCCCAGTGTCTGTGAAAAGATTAAACCGATAAGACTTTTCAATGTCTCATCGGTCCTTTTTTCAACTGATCATTAAATTCCGTTCAATATTTTTAATACATCCTAATTAATCCCTTAATACATGTAATAAATTAAATCAATGAATACATGTGCCGGTGGTGAACTTTGATTTATTCCTGCAGTGAATTTTAAAGC